ACACTCGCATTCGCATCGGCTGTGTGTATCCTGCAGGTGCACGAAATGGACCTGTTGCCGAAACACATGTGTCATCGATGCAGTTACAGGCTCGAGGAGTTTCACAAATTCTACGTGGACTGTCTGAAGACAGATGCGAGTCTGAAGAGTCAGTTGTCATGGATGCGAAAGGAGGACTCGAAGGAGAGAGTCGGTGTGCCGATGGTGCACATAGAAAATATCAAGATCAAAGTAGAGCCACCGGATTACGACTTGTACGACATAAGTCCCATTGCCAACGACGACGAGTACATAAGTTCAATGAACTCGGTAACCTATCCGGTAAACAGTGTTCAATCCAATAATATTCCCGAGCGTATAACGTATACCACATACGCACGTTGCGGTTGTTACTGTGATAAAGCGGACCAAAGTAATCAAACTGTACCTACGAACAAGATGTCGAGATGCAGCAGTATAAACGATACGAGACAACCAGACAACGATGACCGCGGTAACGCATCATCACGAGCTGTGCAGGGAAGCTTAGCGTTAGCGCATCAAACGCTCAAAGAACGGTCAAATTTGATACGGCTCACCAACGAGGCTAAAGATTGCAGGAGATGTACTTTCTCTAATTTGAATCTACCGGAGGATAAATCCGGCATCGTGAGGAAAGAAACCTCGAGAGATCTGATAGTTCATAACTTGAGGCCTAGAAAGAGTTCTGTTGATTATGTGGGAATTAGGAAGAAACGTTCCGCTCGTTCGTCACTGAACGGTGAGAGTAAATCGACAGTTGTCGAGGGGAAAATGCCGACCTCGACCGAGCTCGACGTGACGCCGATTAAAATAGAGAAATTCGATTTTGAGGGGCGTATCTTGAGACCGAGGAAAGGGACCATTAATTATAGAGGACCAATACGGAAATATTGTAGGTCCACGAATAATAATAAGAACCAAAGATTGCAAGCTGATGATGAACATCTAGCGGATATAACGAAGGTTCGGAATGTTGCGAATAAATTGAAATTACCGTCGGAAAAGGTGCCGAAACAGATAAAGAAAAGAATGAAGTTGGATATAAAAGAAGAACAGCTTTCAGATCTCGAGAATTTAGTACTTGATGAATCGGTATCGGCCGCCATGTTATCTCTAACCGATCAGATTGACGCACTGCCTAGCAATTATGACGTTAATGTACAAAATGATAGAGTTAACTGTAATACGTTGAATCGTGCGCAACACACCGGTAATATTAGTATAGCAAAGTGGAGACCATTGCGATATCTAGCCAAGGGTAAATCAAAATCGAGAAAGATCGGCTCGAATCAAATCGATAGGATGAATTATTCGAGGAAATATTTAAGAAGTCAGGATATTTGTCTGAGAAACGGTAAGATAAGGAGACTCGATAGCACGCATACGTCGGTTAGGAAATTACGGAGGAGCCTTCGAAATCTCATGGCTAGAAATAAAACATCCGATAAAACAACCAAGATGTCCACTGCGATGAAGGTGCTCGATATGAAACATTACTGTGAGGAATGTAACACGAGTTTCGCTAACAAAGAATTGTTCAAATTGCACGCGTGCTACGGACATTGATCTTTTTACATAATTGCGGGTAACAATGTGTAAATATCGTTATTTTTGAAACAATTCACGTTATACATTTGTACAATTCTATTCGTACGAATACAATTATACGATCGTTATTTGTATTCGGATAAATGAGAAGATTATATAGATTTCACTCGTTGATCATACGTATAAATATTTTTTTTTCTAAAAAAAAAAAAAAAAAGAAATATCTATGAAATTATTTTAAACACACGTTATGCATTCACATATTATATTGTAATATTATTTTTGTGAATGAAGATGTATACTTATGAAATTGTTAATAAGAAAGTAGCGAGTAAGATAAGAAAATGTTGCGATGTACGCTTAAGAATTTATGTAGATAAAGATTTCACGAATCGCCTTCAAAGTTTAAAATAGGATCATATATTCTATATGAAAAGATATATATATATATATACATATATTTTAAAAGATATCAGATATTCATATACAAAAAAATTGTGATACATAGTGAAAATGTCTTAGGTTTGTATTCATCTTACGTGTAATTAACTCATCTATTTTTTATTTCACATTGTTCTTATAATCTAATTAATGCCAGTAATCTTTATCATCGAACAAACGAATGTATGTATGTATTTCATGCATATTACATCAATAATATCTCGATGTGACGGTACGTATCATTTTGCGTTACACTGAAAATGTACCATTGGTATTGTTAGGAAGGATGATGATCGGGTTCGTGCAAACTAATCGTAAATAATGATTAATGCTTTGTACTTTAAAATATTATTAAATTCTGATTCTGTTGTTTATTGTTATTGAATACTAAGTGCACTCGTCATCCCTCTGACACAATTCGTTATTAAATAAGAAATGTTCTTTGCTATTACCTAACAATTTAATGATTAAAAAGTTGCAGTTATTACACGGCAGTTATGCGCTTATACCAATGGATCGATCAATAAATTTTAAATAGAACAATAAAAAATATATTTCTACTAATTACCTCCTTATTGCTTTATCTCTATTCATTATTCCATTGCATAATTGTTTCATTCTGTATTCTTTTTTTCATCAGTGCTTTAAAATGTATTTTACGTTACTTGCCAGGTGAGGTCGCCACGAGACGACCATCGAGCGAATTAAAATTATCAAACAAACAAAAAGTACGCCAAGTGTCAAATGATTCCAAAAAAATGATTGATTATCTGGATTACATTCTTCAAAAGTGTTATCAGTGAAAAATCCGAATGTCTTCAATTCCTCAGAAGTCCCCTCGTTATGAGGATGTAAGTGTTTTGAATATTTTTCTTTAGTTGTATTAACCTATCTTACTTTTTAAATGACGGTTGACAGTTGACTCGCTTTGATTTATCAATAAATTTAATGCTTGTTAATATAATATATATTTAGAGATAAAAATATATCAAGTTTTGTATTTTCTTACAATAATTAATAATTACACGCATGCATTTTTGAATCACTTACAGTTGATCTCAACGGAAGATGATACTCTGGGTACATCTATCAGTCTTAGTGTAGGAGAAAATTCAATAAGAATCAAAGAAAAACCCAAGGTGATTAAGAAATCAGAGTCAGAAGATAAGCATGAAGAGGAAAAATGGTGGTTAAAGAAACCGGATATCTGGCTTGATATTTCACATGCTATTCCAGTAGATGCAAAGACTAAACAATCTCCGTCTCCTTCCCCGGATGTCAGCTCTTCAATGAAAGAATTTCTTGAAAAAGAAAAGATGTGCAAAGTAATTAAACGTATTTACTATCGAATAATAAATTTCTAAGTAACGAGATATTTTATTCTGTGATTTTTGTTCTTTTACTTTGCATAGGCTATGCATAAAAATGAAATTGAGATGAAAGATAAAGATGACACTCTATGTGATATTTTGGCTTCTGCAGCATTCGATAAATATCCTTCAGACTTTGAAAGTGAGTATTAAGAATTGTATAATTTTCGTGTAATTTTATAAATATAACTGAATTAAAATTTTCATTGTTTTATGTAGATGCAACTGATGAGGATATTGGCAGTATTTTAGAAGAAATGAGTAAGATAGCTGGAGCTCTTAGTCCTAATTCAACTACAGATCGTTCAAAATCTCGAGATTCTGCCAGAAATCCTACAGAGGAAGAGAAATCTGTAGAAGAATTGTTAGAAGAGGCTGAGAAACTTGTAAGAAAAAATAATAGTAGTTTATCTAAGAGTGGATCAAAATCTGACACTTTAGTACCTGAGAATATCCCGGAAGATATAGAAAGTCTTAGCAGGGTTAGACAATTAGAAGCTGATATATTTCAACTAATAGAGAAGGAGGTGCATAAAGAGACTGAAAAAATCAAAAAAAGCCCAAAGAATGAAAAGAAAAGAGACAGTAGTCCTGGTATTGAAGTTATATATGAGAATCTGAATGGTTTGAAAGCTCCGAAATCTTTGGAACTTCAAAGAAAAAAATTTGAAGAGCAAAAAGTAGAGGTATCTAGCAGTTCTGATTTAGATGATCCTATTGAAAAACATTCCAAGTCAGAAGAATTAAAAAGTACAAGGAAGCTGGAATCAGATAAAGATAATTTGCAAAAAGAAATAACTGACGTAGACAAGGATTTCTTTGAAGATTTGCTGAGGAAATCCAAAGAAAAAGCAGAGGGTGGTATGTCAGGCAGTTCAAGTTTTGGACAAGAAGATTTTTCGCATTTTCTGAAACTTTTGCAAGGACAGACTAATAAAAAAGAACAAGAATCAAATCATTCTAACCCTATACAACCTTTCTTTTCAAATTTTGGAGATGAAAAAATATCACTTTTAGATGGGGGAACCATAAATAATAAAAGTCCTGAATTTCCTGAGAAAGAAATTTCTGATATATTAGAGAAAGAACTACCTCAGACGAGTAATGTAAAAATCAGACATGAAATTATGGAAACAGATTCCAGTGCTCACAGTGAAGAACAAAAGCAATCCAAAAACTCTGACAATAGTGATAAAAATGAGTCGAAAATATCTGATAGAAAAGATCAAGTATCACCCAGGAATGTAGCTGTGACAAAAGATAACAAAAAAGTACCTAATTCTAAGCAGGAACTATATTCCGTTGATCTCACACCAAGGTTAGAATTATTCGTGGATGCTATCCCGAAGTTATTAGCTGAAAAGTCGACAGAAAATGCAACGCAACAAAGTGAAGAACCCACGGAAGAACCACAACTAATCGCACACAAAACAATCTCAAGCTCTGAGATTAAATCTGATATCAATGTTCCAACATCTCAACGTAGCAATGTAGAACGTAAATCCATTCATTCAGCTAGCGCGTCGAACAATAAAACGCAAAAGAAAGACTTAAAGTTTTCTAAGTCAAAAAGTTATGATCAGATTTGCAAACCATCGTCATTCAGAACGTCTGTCGAAAATTTGAGAGTGAGCAAACCTTCGGATACTGCAAAGAAATCTAACACTTTGATCAGGCGATCGCCAACATTGAAGCCAAAATTACAACCTACGGTTAAGCCAATCACGAAAACTACTCCGAAACCAAAAGTGTCGTCAAACCTAAGGAAAAATTCCGTTAAGACTGGTTCTAATCTCACATTGTCTTCCACGTGTAAATCGTACCAAGCTAAGTCACCGGAAACTTACGCAAGGACTATGATGGCTGGTGGTGACACGAAACAAAATTTAATGAAAACGAATTGGGAAATATTGTGTCGCGAAGAGAGACACAAGAATGCTCTTTTGAAGCAACAGCTAGAGTCAGAAGTGAAAATGTACAAGAGTCAAATCGACAGGATGCGTATATCCTTCGAGGAAGAACTGTTTGCACTAAAGAAGCAAAACATCATTTTAAAAGCGAAAGTAGATGAGCTCTCTTTAAATGAGAGACGATCAGAATCTCAGCCAAAGAAAGATGCGAAGATTATGCTTCTAGAGAAAGAATTAGAGAAACAAGAGAATCTGATCCGGGCCTATGAAACGGAAAATAAGAAGTTGATGCAAGAAACGAAGAGAATGCAAGAGGAAATGAAGCAATTGCAGAGACAGAAAAGCACAGCATTAGAATCCGGCAAAATGCAGGAACTTGCCGACAGGATTAAAGATCTCGAGGAAGAGGCCCTGAAACTCAATCTGGAAGTTTCCGAGCTTCGCGAGAAGAACGCAGACTGTGCTTTGAAGAATGAGGATTTGTCTCAACAAAATAGTCTCCTGAATGATGAATTGGAGATGTTTAAGGAACAGTTGAGGACAAAGAATGATTTCATTACGGATCGGTTGCAAGCAATGACCACGGCAGAGCTGCAGTTGAAGAAGCAAGTAGAGGATTTGACGATAAAACTTAGCTCTAAGACGGAACAATTGCGAATAGTAAAACTGGAGCTGGATAGGATTCAACAGAACGTGCTCCCATTGGAGAAAGAGCTGCTCGAATTAAGAGTCAAAGAGGGCAATTTACTGGAGAAGCTGCAGGTATCTAAGAGCCATGTGGAACGTGAGAAACAATTAACACAGAAGCTGAAAGATCAAGTGATTCTCGATAGCAAGAAGATTACGGACTTGAATAGACAAGTTCGTGAAATGGAGAGGATACTAAAGAGAAAGAATCCTGATTCAGTGTCCGCTCTTATATTGACTGCGAATTCCGAGCAGGAGAAGATTGGCGCAGAGAAAGTGAAGTTACTAGAAGATCGAATCTCGAGTTTGGAAAATGAAATCAAAGCGAAAGATGATTTGGCACAACAGAAGGTGGTTGAATTCCAGAAGAAGTTTTCGGATGTGAAGGAGAAGTATACCACTCAGATAATTGAATTGGAAAGGAAACTGCTGGAGGCGAACGTGAAGGATCGTAAGATATACAATGATATGTTTACGCAGACAGTATCAAAACTCGTAGAGAACAAGAGTGTGGAGACAATTAGGAAGGAGGAGAGAACAGGATCGTTTGAAAAAGAAGAGAAGAAAGATCTTCCAAAACCGTCTTTGAAAGCCACTTTAAAATCTCAGAACTCTAAAGAGGATGCTTATCTTATGGCCACGATACGTGGATTGAAACTAGAGCTCGCGAACAAAGATAAAGCGATGTCGAAGCTCATGAAAGAAATCCAAGATTTACAAAAGACGAACACAAAACTGCAGAAGGAGAGAGAAAAATTGTTGAATGACAGAAGATCTGTGAAGACAATGAACTTTGAGAGGAACCGCGGCATGGTGTCCTCGGATTCGAAATTAATGACATTGAAGTCCATCGAGGGAAACGACCAGAACTCGAACGTTTACCAAAACGGACATGTGTCTGACACGAATGCTCAACGGCTGTCCGCTTCCGTACAAAAGCTTTATGATCCTATGCAGTACACCGAGAATGGAGATACTAATCTGATGAAGAGATTGACTGACGAGAATGATATTCTAAAGGAGGAACTGAGCAAAATGAACAAAGACTTCATGGCTTTAAAGAACAAACGACTTCACGACCTGAACCTCTTGCAAGAGGAACATGAACGTGAAATGGCCACTTTGCTGAAGGAGTATAGCGTGAAATTTGGAGATTCTAAAGTGGTAAAGTTACAGGTTCGTAGTATTACGTGCAGTGTTTATTTCAATTTTTTTTATTTATTTATTAATAGACTGTAGATATCTGTGTAAATTTATACTTTTATAAACTCAACTGGAAGAAACATGGAAATTTGATCTACTTTGATCTACCTTTTTCTGTGTGTTTTTTTTTTTTTTTTTTTTTTTTTTTTTTATTACTTCCATGATCGTTCTGTACATTTTCAAATTCCCCATAAATGTATAAAAGTTTACAGTCTATTTGTTAGATCAGCGTTATAAAGTGTTTGCACGTAGTACTCTTATTATACGTATATAGTTAATTTTATTAAGGTTTCGCTTTCGTTAATAGGGTCAGATAAACACTCAAGTAGCTGTGATATCCCATTTGAAGCAGCAAATTGAGCAGTTAAGAGACTACAAGGAACAGGTAGTTGTTTTGAAGGCTGAACGTGATCACTTGGAGACTAAAGTGAAAACGTTGAACGAAAAAGTGAAATATTTATCAACACCGGTATGTGATAAAAGATACGTTTTAATGCATCAATCTTGTGTGTCTGTTTGTAATCATTTTATCAATTCTTTTAGAGCACAGAGCAGCTGCAGTTGTTACAGGACAAGATAACAATTCTTCAACAACGACACGAAAGCCGTGAAATGACGTTGCAGAGTTTAGTGCGCGATTTGCTAAGAAATAGAACCCAGTGTAAGGATTGTAAAAACGAAAAGGGTAAAAATCGACAATTGTGCTATTTCCGACAAGAGCTTGATCACATTCTTGGAATGCTTCAGGAGATTGCTAACGTTCATTGATTCTAGATGAATTAGATTAGGTATGCGTGTAAAGTGGTGCTCGTGAGATGTCGAGAGATCGATAGATTGCAATTTCTTGATCCGATAACGGGCATTGTGATAATTCGTATCTTCGAGTGTACTGAAACGAATCTTAGATTTTTGCTAGAAGAAATTATCATATTGGTAGGTACTTTATACACGTGTAAGAGGAAAGCGCAGTCAGAAAAAAATTTGATCGATATTTTTCATCGATCTTGCCACGAAGACGACATGATTAGTTGTTCACAGTCTGTTTAGTCAGTTTCTTATTATAGAATATGGATATATTCAATGAAATCATATCGATCCTGGGAAAGTTCGCGCTTAATGATCGACTGGGATCACTGCCAAAGTTATAAGAAAAAAAAAAAAAAAAAAAAAAAA